TTTTTCCTTCATAAAAGGACAACAACAGTAAGGAAGCCAAGGCGAAGCCGGGTTTTCGCGCTAGTATGGACTAACTCACATGCAAGTCACCGTTCCTGCGCCCACCCTTCCCCCCCCCTTATGGAACACACAACAGACATTGCCAATAGAAGTGAATATGCGGGTTCCAGGAAGCAGTTCAGAAGAAGAAAATGCGACCACTGGAACAAGAGTTTAATTTTCCTGAAGTTTTGGATTCCGTCGGGAATCCTTTATCATAGGTAATGGTAGGTTAGGCTGAGTCATGTCTGAGTCTGACCCCTATCTGCACATGACTCAGACTAACCTGTCATTATCTATGATAAAGGATTCCCGACGGAATCCAAAACGTCAAGAAAATAAAACTCTTGTTCCAATGGTCGCATCTTCTTCTTCTTCTTCTTCTTCTTCTTCTTCTTCTTCTTCTGAACATCAGACATTGTTGGAAATGCCACTCGAGCTCTAGTAGGTGATCAAACGCAAAGGAAAAGGGCGAACTCAAACTGTTCCTTGGACAGACTAGAAGAATTCAGGTACATCCAATTACGGGTAGTCATGTAGTCATGGATGGAAGATAACCTCTGCAGGAGATGGTGATGCCGATCTGCACTCATCTGGCTTGCATGCGTTATTTAAGACTTAACCAAGCCGAACAGAGTGCAGTGATCAGACAATGGTAAAACGGTAAGACTCTATGTGCAGTTCAGTTCAACTGGTAGGGCAAAAAACTAGTTGTGTTTCTTCATTCTTAGATGGCTTTTTATGCCACGAACCAGTTACTGGACCTAAGGCAGTGTCCAGTAGTTTTTGTTTTAATTTCTCTTTCCACGGGTGTATGGAACGAAGGAGAGGCTTACGTGAAATAGACGTTACCATTTTATGTCATGATTTATATTCGCCACCCTAGGTGGACTATCATCTTGTATGTGGATTTTGATCTCTGATTATGTGTAACAAACTACCGCCAGGGGCCGGCTCTTTTGAGCCGTTCACCGGAATGGTGGACTACTAAATTTACCTTCCGAAAAGAGCACAAGGAGTTTTTTTTCACTGTTTGCTCTTTTTGACTCTCTCCCATCTAATCGCTCGTGTCATTGGCGTCGCCCATGCGCCGAGGTACTATAATTAGGTGATTATACTATTTGCTATGAGTGCGTAGTAATGTTTATTTACTACTATCCACTAAGTGGCGCCTGCTAAATTCTTGCTTGCAATCATGTGCACAACCACTGTTTGAATTTTTCTACTGTATCGACACACTTTCCAGTCTTTACGTCACCAATAGGGAGCTCAAAGGCGTTTGCCTATCTTTCACTCAATAAAACTGAACTGAACAAAGAATTTCTCTCTGAACTAGCCCTGCGTTAAGAGCATGAACAGTTTGGCCTCATCACTCTAGTAGGTTGGCTTTGTGTATAAAGAGTTTACAGTGTTATAACTTGGAAAGCATGCATCCCAAGGAATTTAGTTTGAAAAAAGGTGTTCTTTGGGATAAAAAGTCGACGGAACAAACTAGATAACAAAGGTCCATTAAATTACCTGCATTGAGGGCCCATTAGGCAGTCGGTTAGCTGATTTAGGCAACCGGTTCCCAATGATGAACCAACGGTTCTCAGAGCGGCTAAGACCGGTAGAAGGTAAGACCAGAGGCGGACAACCAGCACACTGCAGTAGCATTCTCCGAAGATTGTCCGTCTCGAAGAGACGCGAGGACCTCTTCTCACGCCGCGGTCTTCGATCATTACCACGAATTGCGCCTGCTCTACGCGAACGATTCCTTTTGCCACCGTTTATTCGTAGCGGTCTGGCATTGGTAGAATGGCATGGAAGCAGGAAACGTTGATGATTTAGGGAGTATATGAAGAACTATAACTGGTCGTAACATGAAACCTGGTGC